TCCCCCCCCCTCCGTATCGGGGGCCCCCTGCGTAGTCCCCCCCCCTCCGTATCGGGGGCCCCTGCGTAGTCCCCCCCCCTCTCCGTATCGGGGGCCCTGCGTAGTCCCCCCCCCCCCCCCTCCGTATCGGGGGCCCCTGCGTAGTCCCCCCCCCCTCCGTATCGGGGCCCCTGCGTAGTCCCCCTGCGTAGTCCCCCCCCTCCGTATCGGGGCCCCTGCGTAGTCCCCCCCCCTCCGTATCGGGGCCCCTGCGTAGTCCCCCCCCCCCCCCCCGTATCGGGGTCCCCCCCCCCTCCGTATCGGGCCCCTGCGTAGTCCCCCCCCCCCCCTCCGTATCGGGGCCCCTGCGTAGTCCCCCCCCCCCCTCCGTATCGGGGCCCCTGCGTAGTTCCCCCCCCCCCCTCCGTATCGGGGCCCCTGCGTAGTCCCCCCCCCCTCCGTATCGGGGCCCCTGCGTAGTCCCCCCCCCCCTCCGTATCGGGGCCCCTGGGTCCCCTGCGTATCGGGGCCCCCGTAGTCCCCCCCTCCGTATCGGGGCCCCTGCGTAGTCCCCCCCCTCCGTATCGGGGCCCCTGCGTAGTCCCCCCCCCTCCGTATCGGGGCCCCTGAGTAGTTCCCCCCCCCCCCTCCGTATCGGGGCCCCTGAGTAGTTCCCCCCCCTCCGTATCGGGGCCCCTGAGTAGTTCCCCCCCCCTCCGTATCGGGGCCCCTGCGTAGTTCCCCCCCTCCGTATCGGGGCCCCTGCGTAGTTCCCCCCCCCCCGTATCGGGGCCCCTGCGTAGTTCCCCCCCCTCCGTATCGGGGCCCCTGCGTAGTCCCCACCCCCTCCGTATCGGGGCCCCTGCGTAGTCCCCACCCCCTCCGTATCGGGGCCCCTGCGTAGTCCCCCACCCCTCCGTATCGGGGCCCCTGCGTAGTCCCCACCCCTCCGTATCGGGGGCCCCTGCGTAGTCCCCCCCCCTCCGTATCGGGGCCCCTGCGTAGTCCCCACCCCTCCGTATCGGGGCCCCTGCGTAGTCCCCACCCCTCCGTATCGGGGCCCCTGCGTAGTCCCCCCCCTCCGTATCGGGGCCCCTGCGTAGTCCCCCCCCCCCGTATCGGGGCCCCTGCGTAGTCCCCCCCCCCCTCCGTATCGGGGCCCCTGCGTAGTCCCCCCCCCCCCCTCCGTATCGGGGCCCCTGCGTAGTCCCCCCCCCCCCTCCGTATCGGGGCCCCTGCGTAGGCCCCCCCCCTCCGTATCGGGGCCCCTGCGTAGTCCCCCCCCCCCTCCGTATCGGGGCCCCTGCGTAGTCCCCCCCCCCCCCTCCGTATTGGGGCCCCTGCGTAGTCCCCCCCCCCTCCGTATTGGGGCCCCTGCGTAGTCCCCCCCCCCCCTCCGTATCGGGGCCCCTGTATAGTTTCCCTCTGCTCCAATCAGGCCCCTGTGTAGTTCTTCCCCCCTCCTTGCATATCATCACGCTATGCCCCCTGTGCAGGTTCTGCTCCTTGTATCAGGACAATTCAGAGCCAGCAAATAGTGGAAAATCCACTACGAAGTATGCATGCATTGTGGTGTGCTGCATCATAGAAAAAAAAAGTGCATGTCTGCTTTTTTTTTTTTTTTTCTTTCTTGTTCAGTGTGTAAGGTGAATACACAAGATCAGGAATAGTGATGAGCTCAGGTGTTTTTGGATTATGGTTTAAACCTATATGAGCGAGTCTACCAGGAAGCCCACTGTCAATGGGCCAATCATCTTCCGCAGGGGCATTCCCCACTGCCTCACATATCAAAGGGGCATGTATAGGAGTGGCCTATGTGAAGCTTCTTTTCTGTGCATTGGTGAATTGCTATCAAGTATCTGGGTCTGAAATATCATTTCTCAAATGCCGTCGGTATGATTGTTTAATGGGTACACGGGTATGGTATGCTAATGTCCACTTGGTGCACCCAACATGATATGCAGCAGTTAGAATCTAATGACACATTATTTTTCCTAGCTTCCAGCCTGTGTGTTTGTGATCTGTTGGTGGCCCAGTGTGATGCTAATTGCTGTTGTGATCCTGACTGCACTGTTGCTGACTTCAGTGTCTTCTCTGAATGCTCGGTTTCTGTGGTCACGTAAGTAATTTTTTTCATGTAAAAAAACATATTATCAGTACAACTGTCTTTTTAGTTTTAATGGCTGAAGTTGTCTTAAAACAATTGTCATTTGACATCTTTGAATGCTGAGTTATATTTTTGGGGGGTCCCACCAATACCCACCAATCAGCTGTAGAGTACTATGGGTAACTGGTACAAGACTGAACACACTTGGCATCCTGCTGCTGAAAACGCCAAGCAACTCTGAGCTCAGGCCAGTTTTATTCATCATGGAAAACATGATTGTTGGCTGTCATGCCGACCCTCCAGCTTCAATATTTTGCAGATGAAGACCTCTGATTTTCTTTTTTCAGTTTTGGATAGACTGAGTTTTTATGGCTGTTTGTAACCCCACTGGGTAAATTTAATGTCACTTTCTGTTCCTGTGACAGCAGAAAAAAGAAATTAGGAGGATTGCTGTCAATCTCTCAACCCCCCACCTCACCCCCTCGGTCTCCGCCCGAATCACACACCTGCTGAGCGACATATCAGACTGGATGTCGCTCCACTTCCTTAAACTGAACCTCTCCAAAACCGAGTTTCTTGTCTTCCCCCCAGCCTGGACACCACCCCCCATTGACTTCTCTATCACATCGAACAACGCTACCATCAAACCCGCCCCGCAGGACAGAGTACTTGGTGTCATTCTGGACTCCAACCTATCCTTCCAGCCCCAAGTCCAATCTTTAACAAACTCGTGCAGACTCCACCTCCGCAACATCGCCAAAATCCGCACGTTCCTAACCCCAGAAACCACTAAACAGCTCATCCACTCTCTCATCATATCACGTCTCGATTACTGCAACTCCCTCCTCACTGGCCTGCCTCGCCGCTGACTATCCCCGCTTCAGTCGATCCTGAATACAGCTGCCAGACTCATTCACCTTTCCAACCGCTCCGTCTCCGCCACCCCCCCTGCCAATCCCTCCACTGGCTTCCGATTGCGCAACGTATCAAATTCAAAATCCTAACGCTGACGTACAAAGCCGTCCACCATACTGCCCCGAACTACATCACTGACCTAATATCCAAGTACCACCCAACACGCACACTCCGCTCCTCACAAGACCTCCTTCTCTCTAGTTCCCTGGTCTCCTCCTCCCATGCCCGCCTCCAGGACTTCTCCAGGGTGTCACCCATCCTCTGGAACTCCCTGCCCCAACCCATCAGATTATCACCTACTCTCCTCTCCTTTAGGCGCACCCTGAAAACCCATCTCTTCAGGGAAGCCTACCCCACCCCCTGCTAACTTGCCGACCTCCTCCACCCTCCTACAACTCCATCCCCCACAGCTATCTCCTCCTGTGCCACCATCCCCTCCCTCCTAGATTGTAAGCTCGAAAGAGCAGGGCCCTCGATCCCCTCATGTTTTGCATTGTATTGGTATTGTTCTGTCACATGTTCTGTCCACCTTTGTAATGTACAGCTGAGCGAACTATTGGCGCTTTATAAATACTGTATAATAATAATAATAATGGGGCTGAAAGACACAGCCAGTAATAATCACCCAACAGAAATTATAAAACCTTTTTACTGAAAACAGAAAGCATTTTACAGTATGTGTCCTAACTATAGAGATTTCCTGCACTAAAAATATTATTTGTGGACATAGACCACAAATAATAACCTACCCAGATGATCTATCCCTTTCCCACTCAATGCAATACTAAAAAAATACATTTTGGCAGGCGTTGGGCTCTAAATTGAAACTCCAGACAAATGTAAATACCTCCATATACTCCATATTTATTCTGGTAAAAATGAGTGCAGTTATTTTTAAGCAGTGCCCTGTGTAATTATTGTAAATGATTGTAAATCCTTCTTCATGCACTAGTCATATATTTTAAATGATTCTTATAGCGGGAGTGTCTACATGCATGAGCTGCTGTAATGAGAGTAAGAAGAGATTGGTGTTTAGCCCAACATCTGCAGTTCTGCTATTCTCATCCCACATTCTGGGACAGTGTTGGGGTGATGCACAGAGAATCAAGGCATGCACAAGCACACCTCATGGTGCAGAGTTGAGACTCTAGTTGTAAATGATTGCAAATGGATGCATTAGTCATTATGAATGATTGAAGTTCTTTTTTATATTTTTTATTATTATAGTTGAATAGGCGGAAACTCAGAATCTACCTGGTTTCCCGAGACCCCTATTTGGTCAATAAGAAATTTATACATTAATATTCATGTATTGTATTCTTTTTCTTAAATTATTTTGATCAAGTTTGTTTAAAGGATATGTTCGCCTTTGGTAACATGTTACACCGACTTAACATGTTACCAAAGAACACCTGCCCACACCCCTCCATTCCTCCACTGTGACAGCGGGCAAGGGATCTTCTCACAACTTCTGTCACAACTGTAAAAAAAAAAAAAAAATGCGGCTGTGCGGGGGTTTCGTTTACACGTGGCTTCATTTATTCACAGAGTTTTATGAATGAAAGAACTAAAAGTATCGTCAGCCATTGTGGCAGACAATGAACTGAAAGGGCGCTGGTGAGTGCTCCCATAGTTCATTGATCATCCTGCTCTCCAGTAACTGTCTGCCTTGGAAGTAGTACCCGGGAAGTAGTAGAGGCAGACAGCTACACTGAGATCCTGCAAGAGCCTGATATCTGCTGATCATGGGTGCAATGCTCTGCAGGCTTCAAAATAAATGAATGCGCTTTTTTCTGTTTTTTTGTTGTTTTTTAAGGTGAACATAGCCTTTAAATAAAAGCATACATTTACAAACGCATAGTAAGTTATCTCTGTGGAATGAGAGTATGTATAACACTTTTTATAGTATACAATTAAAAAAAAAATGAATCTTAACAGGAAATATAATCCAGAAAGAGATTAGAAATAATTCTACATAGGCACTCACCAATTACTAACTTGGGAGGGGTTGTTTTTTTCCCTCAATATGGCAGGAAGTAGGCCTGCTGTCCTGGAAGGTTAGTAGAAATGCCGTTACCGGTAAGTCTAACGGTTGGTTTTCTCCTATTACTTCCAGGATGGCACACCTGAGAGGATAAGCAAGTAACCACAGGCTTACCTTAGGGTGGGACCACGGCCTGCAGCACCTTCCAGCCGAAGGCTAAGTCTTGCTGCGACAGCACTTCAATCCAGTAAGGTTTCAAGAAGGTGTCTTGACTGGACTAGGTGGCTGCAGTGCGAATCTGTTCCCAGGAGGCCCCTGCTTTTACCGCCCAGGATGTGGCCATAGCCCTGCTTGAATGAGCTTTTACCTTTGCTGGTGCAGGAAACTGAACTCTCATAAGCTAAGGCAATAGTTTGTCTGATCCACCTGGAGAACAAAGCCATAGAGGCTTGAAATCCCTTCCTTGGTCCAGCAGAAGAAATTAGCAGATGGTCGGACCTCCTAAGATCTTTGGCCCTATGCAGATAAGTGAGGAGACCCCTCCGCACATCACGCCTGGAATTTCTCTTCTTTTGCGTTCCTGGGATTATCACAGAAGGAAGGCAAAGTTCTTTCCTGTGTCCTATTAGATAACGTCATGTACGTCGGATCTGGTCTAAGGGTGACCCTATCTGGCAGGATCAACAAAAAGGGTTCTTTGACCGACAAATTTTGTAGGTCTCCAACTCTTCTAGCCATGGTGATAGCCAACAAAAAAGATAATTTTAATGTCAAAAACTTAAAGGGAACCTCCACTATTGGTTAAAAAAGGTGTTTCAATAAGGCTTCTAGCACTCTGGTCAGATCCCACGGTGGAAACCTCTCTTTTGTAGCTGGGGTAATTCTTTCCCTGACCACCAAAAACCATTTAACTAAAGGCTGTCTAGCTAATCTAGCATCAAGAAAAATTGAAACTGCAGCAATTTGTACTTGAAGGGTGCTAACTGCCACCCCTCTCTCAATACCATCCCGGAGAGACTCCAGGATTATAAGAAAAGAAGAAGAGGATACCTGTTTCCGTTTGCACCATGAACAAAAGATTTTCTATAACTCTGTCCGAACAACCCTTATCCTTTATGATCTGGCACTCGCTAGTGCCGTCAATTGGAAGAACTTCAGCTTGGGGTGAAGCACCGGTCCCTGAAGAAGATCTGGAAGGATTGGAAAGCCTCCAAGGGTCCTCCATGCCAGCCTGAACCGCCAGATCTGTGACAAGGCATCTAGGCCATTTGTGTGTGTCTCTCCTCTCTTCTCCTCCTCCCTCCCTCCTCTCCTTGTCCCTTTTTTATATGAACCGCTGCTAGGGAAAGAACCTTTCCTTCAGCCCAACCCAGGATCTCCTTGGCTAGGTCCAGAAAATGTCTGGATCTGGTTCCACCCTAATGGTTCAGGTAGGCCACCGTGGTGCATTGTTGGAGCTGACCTGAACCTCCCTGCTTGAGATACAGTTCTCGAATGTCTTCAGGGCTTCGCCTACTGCTATTCTGGAGTTGGACGAAGACTGGAAAATTGCCTTGCCCCAAGGACCTTGGGCTTTGGCATCATCCAAGTGAGCACCCCACCCCCAGGAGCTTGCATCTGTGACCACTTTTAGGGGTCCTGCCTTCCTGCAGACTGCTGGGGGTTACCCACCATTCTGGCGAGGGTTTTATCTGTGGAGTGAGGACAAACATTTTTGTCCAGAGATTTTTTTCTTCATGTCCCAGAAGGACAGAAGGAAGGACTGCAGGTCTTTTGAGTGGAATTGTGCCCACACTATGGCTGGGAATGGCTGTCTACATCAGACCCAGCACCCTCAAGACCTCCCTTGGGGAGCTTGAAGGAGACTTATCAAGTCGCTCACTGGCAGGACTATCTTCTGCACCTTGTCTCTCAGTAGAAAGAGAGTTTTTGAGCTCTTGTGTCCCTAAAAAGGTTTTGACGTGCTCCAGAGAGGATTTCTCTATCCAGCCTAGAGACTCCAGGCTGGTGATCACCCTCCCTGTATCTGCCTTCACCTGGACAGCAGAGGGACCAAAGATTAGAAGACCATCTAAATAGGGAATCAGGGATATCCCCTGAAGGTGCAGGAGTG